CTGCTGCTCCTCCTCCCCCTCTTGCTCTTGTTGCTGCTGCTGCTGTTGAAGAGTTAATAAAATTATGAGTTCTAAGAGTAAACTGCAGAAGGAAAGACAAAAAACATCCAGTGAGAACGACAAACACGCTGAACCGAGGGGGCCCCAAACCCTGCTGCTGGGGGCCCCCCGAGCGCCTCAGGCTGCTGCTGCTGCTGCCACTGCTGCTGTTGCTGTTGCTGTTGCTGCTGCTGCTGCTGCTTCGGGTGTATCTAGCCTTCTGAGTTTGGGATTGAATTTTTGTCTTTAAAATACCAGCTATAATGCAGTTTATAAAAAAGAAGTAGCGGTTTACTGCTCTGGTGTACAGACACCTGAGGTGTGTAGCTGCGCATACATTGAAGAGTGTTTGCTGCTGCTGCTGCTGCTGCTGCTGCTGCTGAGCCCTTCTTGTTTCTCTTGACTTCGTGGGTTTTATTTATATTAATTTTTGCATTAATATTTTGCTTTTAAACTCAAATGAAGAAGTATTTCTCCCTGTGGGGCTCCCAGCTGCCTATACACTTGAAGGGACCCTCTAATCTTCACTCGACCGCTAGCCAGTGCTTGGCTTCTGCCTCATATTTGAGGTGTATGTACACCTGAGTTGAGTGTTAGTAGCTGCTGCTGTCTCCTCTATTCCCCGTAGTTGGGGCGGCGTGATGGCTGTCTCTGGGGCAGTATCGAGCTGCACGTACACCCCAAGTAGCGAAGTTGTTCGTGGTGTATATTGTACAGTGCTGTCTACACCCTCTAACCTCCCTGGCTTATGTTGTTTAATTAAATCTCTTTACCAGTCAAATCCTTCCTTCCCTCTTCTCGTCCTTCTACCCCCGAAACTCCGAGCAGCTGTCTCATCTCTATTCCTTATAACCCAACAACAACACAGCACATCAAATGAACAACAACACTGTAGGGGGGCCCCTGTGGGGGCCCCAACAGGCGCCCCTACACAGGACCCTACAGGGGGCCCCACAGGGGGGCCCCCCACTGAAGCTGCCACACGGGCCCCCACTGAGGCCTCTACAGGTGTCTCCTTAGGAACCCCCATTGGGGCTTCCACAGGGGCCCCCACAGGGGCCCCCAGTTGGCCTTCCGCAGGGGTCCCTACAGGGGCCCCCACTGGGGCTCTGGGGGCCCCGGTAGGGGCCCCCACAGGGGCCCCTACAGCTGCTTTAACAGGGACCCAAAAAGGGTTCAGTGGGGGCCCCCATTTAAAAGAGACGCAAAGCAAGGAGACATTTGAATCACCGGTTAATGGGGGGCCCCTTGCGGGGCCCCCTCACATGGGGCCCCCCGATGTGGGGTTGCAGAGGGGGCCCCCTGGACTGGAAGGTTTAGAAGGGATGAAGGGATTGAAGGTCTTAGGTTTTGTTGTTTATTCTTCTCTTACGGTGTACTTCGTGGAGACAGAGCCGCTGCAACTCTTTGCTGCTAAAGGGAACCCGCAGCAGCAGCAGCAGCAGCAGCAGCAGCAGCAGCCGGAGAAGCAACAGGAGCAGCAGCAGCAACAACAACAACAACGACAGCAGGAGCAGCAGCAGCAACAACAACAACAGCAACAGCAACAGCAACCGCAGCAGCAGCAGCAGGAGGAACAGCAGCAGCAGCAGCAGCAGCAGGAAGAAGAGGGGGATGAGGAGGAGGCTTCTCTTTGTTTGCTGAAGCTGCGTTTGTGGGAACTAGAATGCTTCAAAGTTGTGGTGTATGTTGAGTGCGACTGCATCATCATCCGCAACATTGACTCTCTCTTTTCTTTAAAAATAACACCCGATAAACCTGCATTTGCTCCTTCTCTCTTCCCTCCAGATGCATTTGATGCTGGCGTTATTGTGCTCAGGCCTAGCCGCCTGCTGCAGCAGCAGCTGCTGCAGCAGCTGCAGCAGCAGGTGCAGCAGCAGGTGCAGCAGCAGGTGCAGACGCAGGTGCAGACGCAGCAACTACTCAGCGATCTCTCAAATAACCAGCAGCAGCATCAACAGCAGCAGCAAACACAAACCAGCCTGCAGCAGCAACAACAACACCATCAACATCTGCTGCAGCACGCGCGTACTCGCCGCGCCTCTTCTCCTGCTGCTCCTCTTGCTGCTGCTGCTCCTGCTGCTGCTGAGGGAGACTCTGACCCACAAGGCCACAGACCGCGCAGCCGCAGCACTCTGACTAACAGCAAAGGCAGCAGCAGCAGCAGCAGCAGCAGCAGCAAGACACAACAGAATCCCCGAGCAGCAGCAGAAGAAGCAGCAGCAGATGCCCTTCCTATTGCTGTTACCCTCCCCCTTCCAGCAGCAGAAAACCGAAGAAAGGAGACAGATTCTGCTGCAACGAGCGAAGTAAAAGCACACCCAGCAGCAGCAGCAACAGCGGAAGCAGCAGCAGCACCAGCAGCAAAACTCCCTTCAACCCTAGCAGGGCCCCTGCAGCACACACTGCTATTGCAGCAGCAGGAGCAGCAGCAGCAGCAGCAATTAAATGAAATAAGCTTTAATATCTTCTTAAATCAATTCTTCTCCTCGTGGTACACCTGGGAAGCACCCCACAGATTACCCTTCCGCTACAATGCGCGGCATATGATGCTGCTGTATATGGGGGGATGGGCGTGTGCCTCTCCTGCTGCTGCTGCTGCTGCTCCTGCTGCTGCTGCTCCTGCTGCTGCTGCTGCTCCTGGTTGGGGGGCTGTTGGTGCTGCTACCTCTCCCAAGGAAGTTGAGACTATCCCTTTCCCCGCAGCAGCTGCAGCAGCAGCTGCTGCAGCAGCGTCTCGGGGGCCCCCCTCTATTAGAGGGGCCCCTGGGGGCCCCTGGGGCCCCCGGAGGGTACAGAGCAGAGCGAAGAGCCCGCCGTCTTCTTCTGATAAGGGTTTTGTTCGTAATCTGTCTCTGGCATTTCGCAATCTAGGAAGTTTAACTCGATTAAAAGAGACAATTAGCAGCAAGGGACTCAAAAGGGACACTTTGCCTGAGGGGGAGGCTAAGGAGGGAGAACAACCCCACAAAGGGATCCGATCCCATACCGGGATCCGATCCCAAGGGGACAGTCGTTCACCAGAGATCGGATCCCATGCGGGGATCGGATCCCCTACAGGGACGGGATCGCAGCGGGGGGTGGGGTCCCCAATTGGGATCGGATCCCAGCGGGGGATCGGTTTTCAAGGGATCGGATCCCACGAGGGGCATGCGTTGTCTTCTGTTGGCAGCGACGTGTCTTCTGCGAGAGGAGACAGTTTAACGCTTTCAGGCTCTCTGCTGCCTCTTCGTTTAGTTGTGGGGGCAATGAGAGACCTCGTGGGGGAGCTGGCTGGGGGCCCCCCCTGCAGCAGAGAGTTCTCTGGTGTATCTGCAGGTGCTTCCTCTTCTTCTTCATCTGTCTTGTCGGACCCTGTCAGAAGCAGCACCAGCAGCAGCAGCAACAGCAAGAGCAACAGCAGGAGCAGCAGCAGCGGCAACAGCAACAGCAGCAGCAGGAGCAACAGCAACAGCAGCAGCAGTTCGCCGTCTCTTAAGTCCCCTTCTGACAGCAGCAGCGACGAATATGAGGGGGGCCCACCATTCGAGCGGGGGGCCCCCAGCAGCAGCTCATCGAGTGCGAGCAGCCCGGGGGAGGAGACGATCCCAAAGGAGACAGCAGGAGACACTTTTCTTGAGCCTCCTCCCTCTTGGGGGGTATTTATTGAAGACACAGCTGAGGAGACCCTGCTAAAAAGAGAGCTTAGCGACCACATTAAAACCCTTCTACGCAGCCGTTCCTCCTTTAGAACGGAGACAGAAAAAGGAGACACCCAAGGCCAAAGGCCCGAAGATATACAGCAGCAGCAGCAGTTGCTGCTGCACCAACAACAGCAGCAGCATCCGCAGCAACAGCAGCAGCAGCAGCAACAGCAGCAACAGCAGCAGCAACAGCAGCAGCAGCAGCGGGGGAAGGTCTCGGAGGAGACAGGCTACGAGTGGAGTGGATGCGATCGTTCGTCTAGTGTCTCCTTCGGAGACATGAGGCCCCCCCTTCTATGGGAGCGATGCAAACCTATTTATGTGCTGCGGTTTGCTGCTGCTGCTAAACCCTGGAGCGAAGAGGGTGTTAGGGGGCCCCTCGAGGTTCTCTGGTGGAGAGTCTTCTTAGGCTTAGACCCCTTTAAAGATAAACAGCTGCGCCAATTCATCTAAGGGTAGAGACAAACAAAAAAGACAAACAGACAGAAGCAGCAACAACCCCCAAAGCAGCTCCTGCTGCTGCTGCTGCTGCTGCTGTTGCACATCCCGCTGCAAAGCGCCAAGCTTCAAGCGTTTGAATGACACCCGCAGCGAAACCCTAAACCCTAAACCCTAAACCCTGAACCCTCCAGTGAACAGACACGTGGGGCTCCGCCTTTTTGCAAATGTTCCTTCTTCCCCGCATCGCCCACTGCACCCATTTGCTAACTAGCCATGTGGCTAGCTAGCTATCCGAGTAGCTAGCTAGCTGGCTAGTTTGCTAGTTCTAGCTAGCTAGCTAGCTACGTTGTTGGCTAGCTAGCTAGCTAGCTAGCTAGGGAGGCATTTCGCCACCTCGAGCGGCAGCCCATAGGCTGAGAGCTAGCCTATCACGTCGCCTATTAACTATCTTTCAGCTAGCTAGCTAGCTAGCTAGCTGGGTGGCTAGCTAGCTAGCCAGCCATAAACCAATGAGGCCTTCTGGAGCAAACGGGGCTCCTCCCGTTTGCTTTTTTTGTATTTGTCTACATCTCGACAGGCGCTTCAAGTGTACGCACACCAAGCTGCTAATGCATACCTAATGCATAGTAATATATACATATATATATATATATATATGCTTACTAGGTAGTCAGCTAGCTCTTAGCTAGCTCTCAGCTAGCTATTCGGTAGATATGTACTAGCTATCGGGCAGCTCTCAGCTAGCTACTAGGTAGATTTGAGCTACTTATTAGCTAGCTACCAGCTAGCCATCAGCTACCGATCATCTGCTAGCCACATGCTAGCTCTCATCTAGCGATTAGTTAGCAATTATATATCTAGCTATGAGCTAGCTATCAGCTAGCCATCAGCTAGCTATCCGCTAGCTCCCAGCTAGCTACACAGTTTCCGAGTTTGTATGCATTTGAAAGAGGGGCATGATTGGGGTGTATGCGCACCTAAAGTGTGCAGAAAAAAAGACAACAGCCCCACAAGCTCTGCTAGGGTTTATGGTTTTGCATTGCATGCGGTGTACATACACCCGAATAAACAAACAAACAATAATTATCGATCCATGCTGCCCCCCGTTAAGACTAAGTGGGCAGACCCCTCTCCTTCTTGAACTTTCTGCAGCGCCTTTAGAGTTGGGAGAGACTCCATTAAGTTTTCTTGTAGTCGCCGTTCTAAGAGCAGCAGCAACAACAGCAGCAGAAGCAGCAGCACCAGTAGGAGCAGCAGCAGCAGAAGCACCGCAAGCAGCAGCAGAAACACCAGCAGTAAGAGAAGCAACAGTAACAGCAACAGCAGCAGAAGCACTAGAAGCATCAGAAACAGCAGAAGCAGAAGCACTAGAAGGATCAGCAGAAGCAGCAGAAGCAACAGCAGCAGCAGCAGAAGCAGCAGCAGCAACAGAAGCCCAATGCAGCAGAGGGAGTGGGGTGTACATACACCTCAGCTTACCTAATTCTAACTTCTTTAATTTCTTTTCCTGCTTCCTCAGGCTCGGGAACTTCCCATGAAAATGCCACGAAATGCGGCGGAAGGCGTCCTTAGCAGTCTGCCATAAACCCTCACAAACCCTAAACCCTAAACCCTAAACCCTAAACCCTAAACCCTAAACCCTAAACCCTAAACCCTAGGTGCGATTGCAGCAAACCACGTGTTGCATCTTTCTCTATATCGGAAGGCGATTGGCGTGCGCATAGTGCCTCAGATAAAGCGTGAGGCCTGAATGCCGAGGGTTTAGGGTTTAGGGTTTAGGGTTTAGGGTTTAGGCTGACCATTACGTTTCCAAATGCATCTCTGTAGTCGATGTTTACTTCTCTCTCGTTCTCTGCATTGTGCAGAGGCTGCTCTAAATGATGTCCTCGTCTCCTGCGAATCTTGTCTAGAGAGAAGAAGTCTGAACCACGAACCCTAAACCCTAAACCCTAAACCCTAAACCCTAACCCTGGGGAAGCCAGTCGCTTCGCCCCGCTACCGTCTGAACGAAAGTGTCGCCAGCAGCAACCACTGCAGCACCATCAGCAGCAGCAGCAGCAACAGCAGCAGCAACAGCAGCAGCAACGACAGCAGCAGCAGCAGCAGCAACAGCAGCAGCAGCAGCAGCACCTTTGCTTTGTAGATACGCCAGTGCTCCTGAGACAGAATTTCCAATGGGTTGCTCCGCCATGAACTCCGGCTGAGCAGCCACACTCAAACCCTAAACCCTAAACCCTAAACCCTAAACCCTAGGCCTTAAGCGGTCAGCACTAAACTCTCAACCTCAGGCTTTTAGCATTAAACCATCAACCTCAACCCTTAAACCCTAAACCCTAAACCCTAAACCCTAAACGCTAAACGCTTGAAGGTGGATTTCTGAGTCAGGGTTTAGGGGTTAGGGTTTAGGGTTTGTTTAAAATGTACTTCAGAGTCTTCTTCGTCTTCGTCTTCTTCCTGTTTAGAGGCTGTCTCCACAACTTCTCCTTCTTCTGTCTCCTCTCGCTGCTGCGTGTTGCTCGGAGACACAGACCGACGCGCTGCCTTGCTGCTGCTGCTGCTGCTGCTGCTGCTGCTGCTGATTTTAATTCCCCTGAAGACGTATACAAACCCCAAACCCTAAACCCTAAACCCTAAACAACACACCCTAAACCCCTCCTCCTCCCACGTGCCACACCATACCCTACTCTGCGCACATCATTATAATCCTCACTCCTGCAATGAGGGTTTAGGGTTTAGGGTTTAGGGTTTACTTTGTTGGCTTAGGAATCAAGAGGCTTCCTCTTGCTTCATTAGCCTTCTCCATTGGTGTGCGTACACTCCGACAAAACTCTGTCATATTCGACAGCTGAAGCCCCTCCTCCTCCTCCTCAACCACCGCTGCGCCAAACCCTAAACCCTAAACCCTAAACCCTAAACCCTAAACCCTAGGCCCTAAACTCTACACTATAAAGCCTCAACCCCAAGCCCTAAACCCTAAACTCTAAACCCCCAACACAAACACCTAAGCCCTAGACCCTAAGTAATAAAACCCTAAAACCTAAACGCTGAGTTCTAAACCCTAAACCCTAAACCCTAAACCCTAAACCCTAAACCCCCCAATGGTTTTAAAGTAGTGCAAATAAAGCCTCATAACTGCGGACTCGTAGACCCTAAACCCTCAACCCTCATCCTGGGCCAACACACCCTAAACCTTAAACCCTAAACCCTAAACCCTAAACCCTAAACCCTAAACCCTAAGAAGCCTCACTCTGATGTGCCTGCTCAACAAGCATCGCCGTCTTGGGGAGAAGACCCTTCGAATCTGCTTCCCCCTCTGTCGCTCTGCTGCGTCTGCATG